TAGTTTCTGCTCTAGCTTGTACAAAATTTTATTAATGTTTACAAACAAAATAACATCATTAGGCTTACTTCTCAGCTGTGGACTCAAGTGTGGGCTCATTCTTTTTTGAAAAAACATGTGTTAAATTGTGTTAAATTGGTGTAATTATTTGTTGAGCAGATATTTAGTAAGCACCACCAGTACATCAAGCTCTGTACTTAGCACAGGATGCAGTGGTAAACAGACAGACATAATCCCTCCTTCATGGAACTTAACAGACCCAAAGGAGAGACAGACAAACAGGCATGACCAGGGCCAGATTATGTGCTATGATTAATTACGAAGCAATATGACAAGAGTGATGTCCAGAATAGATTGATCAAGTGAAGATCATAGTGATGAGTAAGACTTAGCCAGACCAAGGAGGAGAGGATAGAGCAGTCAAGAAAAAGGAAAAGCCTTTGTGAAAGCACAGAGGCAAAAGAATAATTTTGGGGAAACCAAATAATGTGCACTGTAGGGAAAGAGTAATGGGGAATGGAAATGGGGGAAGTAAATGAGGAAGCTGAAGAGGTAAGCCAAATCCAGATCATGATTTTTTTTTTACTTTATCCTAAATGTAATGGATAGTCTCTGAACACTGTTGAGCCGCCAAGTAACAAAATCCAATTTAGAAATATCCTCCTAGCTGCAGCATGGAAATGGGTTGGCAGGGGAGAGAGCTGGATTCAGAGTAACAGGAGATAGCTACAGTAACCCGGATGAGACAGGTACTGAGTACTGACTACTAAGTACCAAGTGATAGAACTCTGTGTGATAAGTACTGTTACAGAGGAGTTTGTACAAAGTGTTTTCAGGCTCTCTTTGGTTCCCAATATTTCATTCTGTTATGGGGGTAAATTATTGGCTTTTCTAATCAAAGTCCATATAAATATTTATGTAGCCTGCCTCTACTCACAAACCATGTTGAAACGATACTACCCAGAATTGCTTTGAACTTCATCTCTTGGTGCATCACTGGTTCACATAATTGCAGTTAACTTGAGGCAGGGGTCTGAAGCCAATCATAAGGTAATCAGCCATTTCCTGTGCTTTGATTTCTAATGTTTCTTTATTTTCATACCTCCTGCATTAACTCTGTATAAATGCAAATGATGCTTCTAGGCCAGAAGGCCTCCAGCTATCTTATTCTTACCCACCAGAAAAATTGGTACCTGTGCAGGTTAATAAATATTGTAACCTGCAAAGGTGATAATTAAAATTCACAGAATTCTGGATGTTGAATAGGGTGAAAGAAGTATTTTAAGATTAATCCCTCTCTGTTGGAAGAGACTTCCAATCACTTGGCCCACCTCCTTCCTATTGGAGCTGTATTAAGCCTTACACGGGTTACCGAAGCCAAATGAAGACTTTACTGTGTTTGGCACATGATTACTAATGATTCACTTTCTCTTAACTGGAATATGTTGGGTGTAGCTTGCCTGTGAGCTATTTCGGTGCCTTTTTGTTGCTATATTAAAGTGTAAAGTAAAACATGTATTTATTCTGTAAGTATTTTTCAGCATCTGCTCTCTGCCAGGCACTGTGCCTGAGGAAGATTCAATCCATGACTTGCAGTAATACCTGTACAATATACAGAAGATTGTGGAAGCACTGAGGTTGAGTCAGTTTTGTAAAGCTTTGGAACATGATAGGCCATTAGTTGCCTGTGTTGGTGATCATTTTTACTCTTGGAGTGGGAAAGAAGGGGGTGCTGTACATTCTCGTCCGTGAGAATAACTTAATTAGAAACATGAAAGTGAATGTTATTTTCCATAATGGCTCAGTGTGGTTGGGATGTAGAGTACAGTGCAGACAACAGTGTTGAGAGATATCAAAGAGAGATAGTTTGGGACTAGATTGTAAAGGACTTAAATACCAGCTAAAAATCTTGACTTTTCAGAATATACAGTGGGAGCCATTGAAAAGAAAATGTTCTAGCTTCAGCTTTTTTTCCCTAATCCAATATTCAGGTTTTCTTGTAACTTCTTTAATGGAAAATTTCCAACATAACACTGAAGTAAAAAGAGTAGTATAGTAACCCCCAGGTATTTATTATCCAGCTTTAACAATTATCAATATGTGGCCAATCCATTGAAGATTTTTAACATTGTGCTACTTCCATTACCTATTTAATCTTCACAATGCCCCATGGAGTATGTGGTATTCCAGCTTTCCCTAATTACAAGTTAGAAAACCTTCAAAATGATCAAGTTTTCTCATAAAAGATAATGGGGATTCTAACCCATATCAAACTTACTTCAGAACTCAACCCAGGTTCTTTCCCATGCTACCTCTATAATTCTGGAGTATGATTATCTGTTTAAAACAGCTACTGATCTTCCTACATGTTATATTGGTGCTGTTGACCTTATTCAGGATGACAGATTTCTCTGCCTCAACCCACTCTGTTTCTACAGGGTCACCAGGATCTGAGTCTATATAAATGCCAACCTAATCAGCTAAAATGCATGTTGAGTCCTGTGGTTCTCAAAGTATGGTCCCCAGATAAACAGCAAATTATTAGGAAGTATAAATTTTCATGTCCCACCCTCAACCTATTGTATCAGAAATTTGGGGAACTGGAGCTGATGACACCTATATTGCCATTTTGTGTATTTAAATAAAATGCTGTAGTGGTTTCCTACAAACACAAGGTTATAACCATCTACCAACAGTGTTTCTAAGGCAAAAACCTCATGTCAGAAGAAGTTATGTTTACTTTTTAAAATTTCATGAAAAGCATATCCTAAGGAAGGAATTTTTATTCAGATCTCACTCTGATCTGAATAAAAAACCATCAATCTCACTGGGGATATTACATAACTACATGGAAAGGAATCTTAAGGAATTTGCACTGACTATATTTAAAATGCTTGATGGTGCCATCTAGTGGTTTAAGCTCTATAGAATGTACAGCTTTATTACCCAATGCTCTGAGGACAGAATTTGTTTATTTTTAAAAAATTAGTTTCATAGTAAAAGTTTGATGAAATAGCCAAACATAATATATATAAAGAATTTATTATATGACCTCCATTAAAGATTCTTAAATATGACACCAAAACACAAGCAACAAAAAAAAAATAGCTAAATTAGATTTCATCAAAATTAGGAACGTCTGTGTTTCAAGGACACCATCAAATCAAGAAAGTGAAGAGAGCCTACAAAATAGAGGAATATATTTGAAAATCATATGCCTAATGAGGCATTTATATCCAAATATATAAATATATAAATAGTATCCAATATATAAAGAACTCTTACAACTCAACAACAGAAAAACAAACAACCCAACTTAAAAATGAGTAATGGACTTGAATAGACATTTCTCTGAAGAAAATATACAAATGGCCAATAAGCACATGAAAAGACAATCATTAGTCATTAAGGAAATGCAAATCAAAATCAAAATGACATACCACTAGTCTGGCTTGAATAATTTTTTTAAAAACAAGAAATAAACTAACAAGTGCTGATGATGTGGAGAAATTTTGAATCTTCATACATTACTGGTGGGGATGTAAAATGGTGCAGCCATTGTGGAAAACAGTTGACAGTTCCTCCAACAGTTAAGACATAGGATTACCATAGGATCCAGCAATTCCACTACTATATATATACCCAAGAGAACTGGAAATAGGTGTTCAAACAAAAACTTGTACACAAATGTTAATAGCAACATTACTCATAATAGCCAAAATGTTGAAACGATCCAAATGTCCATCAGCTAATGAATGGATAAGTAAAATGTGGTATAGCCACACAGTGAAGTATTATTTAGCCATAAAAAGAAATGAAGTACTAATACTAATATGTTGATGAACCTTGAAAGCATTATTCTAAGTGACACAGGCAGGCACAAAAGGCCACATATTAGATGATTCCATTTACATAAAATGTCCTGAATAGGCAAGCCCATAGAGAGAGACTGGTAGATTAGTGCTTGCCAGAGGCCCTGGGAAGAAAAGAATGGGAGTAACCACTTAATGGGCATAGGATTTCTTTTTGGAACAATTTAAATTTCCTGGAATTAGATAGTAATGATGGTTGTGCAACATTGTGAATGTACTAAAAGCTGCTCAATTATGTACTTTAAAATAGTTAAAATGGTGGCTTTTATGTTGTCTGAATTTTACTTTGATATTTAAGAAAATCTCCATTGATTGGCAAGATTCCAGCACCTTTTTTGATTATTATTATTATAGATATATTTTCCCACAGTTGTTTCTAGTATATATATGTGTATACTGTTTGATCTATTTTTTTACCTAAAATTATTTGATACATATTTTTCCATTCATATAGTAATACAGTTTTCATTTTGGTGGCACACGTATGTTAGTCATTATATACATCATAGCTTAATTATTTCTCAGATGTTTGGTGGTTTTCTCTTTTCTTTTTTTTTTTTAAAGAGTCCTGCTGTAAATGCTTAATAACAGTAGGAATGTTTAAAACTTCATACACATTACGTTGGTGTTTCTTCCCTAAAACAGGATTTCTAAGTCACTTTTTTTTTCTATTTCTGTTTTTTCTTTGCTCTATAGTAACAATATACTAATATTTAACCCTACCAATAATGGAAGAGGAAAAATGGAGATTAATGTTTGTCTATCCTGTTCCAGGCACTGTCTGCATTCTTTCACTTCCATAATTTCATTCAGCTCCCACACCTGCTGTTATAAAGTGACTACAGAAGTTGACACTGCTAAGAAGCAAACAAGCAAAGATCAGAACCCAATCATTTTGTCTCCAAGTGTTGTCCTGTTCCCACAGCTTGATTTTATCTTTTTTAGTTCCTATTTATTAGTTTCTGCATTTCTCCAGGTGATTGTTTACTGTTTATATTTACAAAACAATCTGTATTTTTTGTCCACTTATTATTAATATATTTTAAACTGAACTTACCTTGTAGACAGTTGGCATAATGTGTCAGTCTTATCATAATTTTTTTGCTTTTGTTTACTCATCTTTTACAGGCTCTTGATGGAAATGTATATGATCATCTGAAGGATTATTTAATAGCCTTCAGCCGGACTGAACTAGAGACTTGCCAAGCTGTGCAGAACACGTTCCAGTTTTTATTAGAAACTTCCAGCAAGGTAAATTATCTTTAGTGCATGATGTAATGTTTTCTATTTTAGAATTTTAAATGTTTTTTGCATACAAACAAATGAAGGTACTAGTGGCATTAGAAGTATGCTTTATAGGACAAATTTGCTGATAACAGTATACCTTCTAATGAAGTGAGAGAGTGTTCTGTTTTCATTGATGAGTTGGCACAAGAGGTGAAAATGGAGGTGATCATACAGGCTAGCTCAGTACATCACTTCATTGCCATATATGTTGCTTTTGAGAAGCGTGGTTTAAATAGCTTTATTTTCCACTCAAATTTTGAATGATCTCAGCTCATTCATGAGGAACAGCAAGGTCATGTGTCAGTGCAAAGACTGATGAAGGGGCACAAAGGTGAAAACTAGCACTTAATAATCAATAAAGAAATGAATGCTATAATATCTTGTTTTTTTAAAATTCTTCTGTATGCTATCTTTTTGATAGTAATCTTCTCATTCAAAAGTGTTGAGAGCCATCAACTTTGCTGGCATGTCACACTGTATACAGAGAAAATAAATGAAATCCGTTTTTTCAAGATTTGATAGATTAAAATATTTGCAGTAGAAACTGTCCTTTGGAGGATAAGTAGTTCTTGTGATTTGTTAATGTTATTTTATTTTGTTTCTGATAAATTAAGTGTATAGTAAATATTTCCTGACTGAACACATGCATTTGTAAAAATATGTTCGTTTTATAACTGCTATTTTAAAAGAGCCAGTTCAACTCTCCTTTTTGATAGGGAGAGCAGGAACTGGCTAATACCTTATGAAATTGTTGGCAAAGGAATCAAGATATCCATCTCAAAAGACAATATCCAAAGACAGGAAAGAAAAGTGGCACACACACCTTTCTTCCTGAATGCTTCCTTATGTATTTATTCTTGTATTAGTATGCCATAGCCCCAATTCTGTTTTTACAAGAACATTTAAAATGTTAAGTTGACAGGGAAATACAAAAATCATAGTCTAGTGCTTTGAAATCCTGTCATACTTCTATTTTTCTATATTTTTATTCCCCAGGATCCAATTAAAGATAACAAAAGAATTAATGTAAAGAAAGAATGATGGATGGATAGATAGAAGGATAGTTATGGGAAAGCAAATGTTAAATGTTAAATGTAGAAAATGTTAAATGAAGAATCTAGGTAGTGGGTATATGGGTGTTTCCATACAATTCTTTTTAGTTTAATGTATATGTATTTGAAATTTTCCATTAAGAGAATGTTGGGAGGAAGTGTAAATAAAAACATCTTGGCTTTGTTCCTCTCATTAGTGTTCAAATTCTTTATATTTATCGGTCCACTTAGGTTTTCTGCTCCTTTTTTAGTACATTTTGATAACTTACACTTTCCTAGATAGTCCATTTCATTGATCAAATTTGATAGCATAAATTTACATATAAACTTGTTTGGCTGTATAGTTATCTCTGTTTTTATTTCTAATGCTTTCTCTCATTTTGATCAGACTTATCAGTCTATTTTTATTTATCTTTTCCAAGAGCCAGCTTTTCTGCTTCTCAATGATGTTTTCTATCTCCTTAATTTCTGCCTTAAATTCATTGTTTTTTTCTACATTATTGCAGTTTATGTTATTTCTTTTTCAGGTTTCTTTTTCTATTAGACCCTGTATTTTCAATCTTCCTTGTTTTCAAGTAAACCCATTTAAAGCTAAAAGATTTCTTTTACTAGTTTTAACTGCATTCAATAATAAGTAGAGCATTTTTGTTTTTTCCACAGTTATTCCCTTTGTTAACCCATCAATTATTCAGAAGTGAATTTTTTCCATTCAGTGGAAGTGTGTAGTGGGTAACATTTTTCATTTCTAGTTTTATTAGAAATTGTATTTTGTTTTTATTTTATTCTAATGTGAGAGATTGTTCTCTGATAAAATTCTTTGAAACTCTTTTTCTGAGGATAAGTTAGATTGGATCCCTACCTTTAGTTTATAAGTCAGGTAAATGTATAGTCTTGAAATATAGCTAGTATTTTGCACAGCACTTAGTTTACTGGGAACTATAAGCACATCCTCTGCAATTGGGATTATCATGCTTGTTGTAGAGAAGGGAAATAGACTCAGGGAGTTTCTGTGGTTTGCCTGAGGTTACACACTCACACAGTGTTTTCCATGGTCTCCTGCTATACTCCAGTATCTCTTAGCTTATATTATTTCCGTAGAAAACAAATTAAAAATGTATAAACTGATTTGGACTCACAAAGAGATAAGCTTTCATTTTTCTGTGCATTCACTCATGAGTATCTTGCTCCCCAGGGATGAGGAATAAATGAGATGCTCTTGTGTTTAGATTGAAAGAATGATGTAACTAGGAGATGTGCCCTTTGTTCCATGTACCACAGGTGCTCACCTGCAAGTTTTATGCCACGTGCTTTTTTGTTACAAAGAGCTTGTTATACTGCTGAAAGCAACCCAGTGATCTTATAACCCAAAAAGAAGTTTGACACTCTGGTTTTTTATGCTACACCATTATTACTTTGTCTCTTGGTGGGGGAAATCCACTTTTTCCCACATGTCTAAGTTGTAACTGTACATATTCTCAGATATTTTGGGGGTCATCCATACTGACATACTGTAAATATTGCAATGCTTTCTATAGCTTTCATTCCCTGAAGGGTAACAGCTGGCCCCAGGAGCTTTTGTTTAATTTTAATTTTTTATGAAGCTTGATTTTCTCCTTAATATTTTATGAAATGCTTTGTATATGTAACTGAAGCAGATGTTGTCATAGATATTTTCCCTAGGATAGTAACTCCAAAGGTAGTTCTGGTGGCCTTTTTAGTTTGTTTGTGCATACTTGCTTTCTGTCTGCATAAGGAAGTTCCTGTTGATTAATAATGTAGGTTTTTTTTTATTGATAAATGGTCTTATTTTAGTTTCAGTTATACAACACAGTGGTTCAACAGTTATCCATATTATTAAATCCTCACCCCCACTAGTACAGCTACTGTCTGTCAAATTAGAAAGATGTTACAGAATCATTGACTATATTCTCCATGCTATACTAATGTCCCCATGACCAACTTATATTATGACTGAGAAATTTTGTGCCCCTTTATCCCCCTCACCCACCCACCCCAACTCCTCCCCCGAGATAACCACCAGTCTATGAGTTAACAGCTGTTTTGTTCCTTCTGTTTTGCTTTGTATTTACAGTCCACAAATAAGTGAAATCATATGGTATTTGTCTTTCTCTGCTTGACTGACTTCACTTAGCATAATAACCTCTAGGTCCATCCATGTTGTTGCAAATGGCAGGATTTCTTTTCTTTTTATGGCTGAATAATACTCCACTGTGTGTATGTATTACATCTCCTTTATTCATCTGTTGATGGACATTTAAGTTGCTTCCATATCTTGGCTATTATAAATAATGCAGCAATAAACAGGGATGTATATTGCTTTTGAATCAGGGGTTTTGTTTTCTTTGGGTGAATTCCTAGAAATGGAACTGGTGGGTCAAAAATAGTATTTCTATTTTTAGTTTTTTGAGGAACCTCCATACTGCTTTCCACCATCATTGAACCAGTTCACATTTCTACCAACAGTGTTGGAAGGTCCCTTTTCTCTGCATCCTTGCCAACACTTGTTATTTCTTGTCTTTTGGGTAGTAGCCATTCTTACTAGCGTGAGGTGATATCTCATTTTGATTAATAATGTAGCTCTTTTAACTATTCAGAAGATAAAGATGTTATTCTATATTTCTTTGGAAGTTAAATTGTCTAGTATTGCTATTCTTAAAATCTTGAAGACTAAACAAAAAAAACTTATTTAAAAAAACACATGATAATCTCAAAAGACACAGGAAAAGTACACAAGACAAAATTCAACATACTTTTATACTAAAAATACTCAACAAATTGGAAATGGATTGGAACTTCCTTAAAATGACAACAGGCAGTTATGAAAAACTTACATTAGTAAAATAATTCCAACTACAACAGCATCTGAAGAATAAAATACCTAGGAATAAATTTAACCAACGAGGTAAAAGACTTATACATTGCAAACTATAAATTATTGCCAAAAAAATTTAAAGGAGATCTAAATAAATGGAATTAATAAATTATTATGGATTGGAAGATTTCATATCACTAATATTGGCAATATTCCCCCAAACAAGCTACAGATTCAAAGCAGTCCCTATCAAAATTCCAGTGACCTTTTTTGCAGAAATGGAAAAGCCAATCCTCAAATTCATATGGAACTACAAGGGACCCTAAATAGCCAAAACAACACAGAAAAGGAAAATCAAAGTTGGAAGACTCACACATCCCAATTTTAAAACTTACTGCAGTTATAAGTAATCAAAATAGTGTGGTACTGGCATAAGGACAGACATATAGACCAATGAAATAGAATTGAGTCCAAAAAAACTCAAACATGTATGTCCAATTTATTTCTGACACAGTTACAAGGCTATTTGATGGAGAAAGAATAGTCTCTTCAACAAAAGGTGCTAGAACAACAGGATAACCATGTGGAAAAGAATGAAGTTGAACTCCTGCCTCACTCCATTTATAAAACTAACCCCAAATAAATCAATGACCTAAAACTATTAAAGTATAGAAGAAAACATATAGGTAAATCTTTATGAGCTTGGATTTAGCAATATTCTTAGATTTGACATGAAAGTACAAACAACAAAAGAAAAAATAGATAATTGGGTCTCATAAAATTAAAAACTTTTGTGCATTAAAAAATGTATCAAGAATGTAAAAAAGACAACTCACAAAATGGGGGAAAGTATTTACAAATCATGTGTCTGGTAAGTATTTATTATCTAAGATATATAAAGAACTCTTACATCTCAACAACAAAAAGACAAATGATCCAATTTAAAAATAAGCAAACAACTTGAGTAGACATTTCTGCAAAGAAAATATAGAAATGGCCAATAAACACATGAAAAGTTGCTCATCATCATTAATCATTAGAGAAATGCAAGTGAAAACCACTGTGAAACACCACTTCCT